TTCTGCAGCCTTGAGACTAGGTGTGTTCTATGGGCCTATCTCTCCTTATTAATAATTGGGATTTGGGGTGGCAAGATTCGATGCACGCCAAAATCAGTTGGCCCGCTCATCTGCCATTCACCCCGGTCCCTTTCCATTGGCTGCCCAGCCTTGCAGCCTTGCATCAATCCCGCCCACAGACCTGCTGGCCAGGGTCTCACCCTCAGTCTCCTGGGAGCCGTTGGGCAGGGTGGACACTCTGGCGACAACTCCGCATGGAGCCAGGAGGATGGGCTGGCTGGTCTCAACATGGCCTGGTCACTCCCTCTGGCCCCGGGCTGAGCCAGACTGGCCTGCACCACCTCCCCTTCCCTCTAAGAGCCAAGCTGCTTTGCCTTCGCATGGCCACAGGGAAGCCGAGCAAGCCAAGAGAAGGAGAAGTGGTTTACACTGCCCCCCCTTACCAGGCTAAGTACTCCAGTAATCTAATGTCTGTGGAAGTTGTAATAAAGTGGTGTAGGTTTGTAGTCCTAAATGTACACATCTGTGTACGTGACTAAATGTATATACTCCTTCTCATGAGACAGAGTGGAGACCAAGGTGGGGTATAAGCAAGCTCTTAAGGTAGTATGAAGAAGTTGTTCCTTATGAAGCCATGTAAGAAATTAGCCTCCATTGCCAAACTTGTTGCAGTGAGTTCCATAAGTTCACCGTATGTTATGCTAGAGTGGGGATTTAAACCTGGGTCTTCCAGATCCTAATTTTATTCTCCAACCATCAAGTCACAGGCAATTTATGGCAACCCTGTGGGTTTCCTAGGCAATAGACTAACAGAGCTGGGGACCGTCCTTCACATAGAAACCCTTGATTTCCTTGGTGGTCTCCCACCCAAGTACTAACAAAGGCAGACCCTGCTTAGCTCCTGTGATCCAGCAGTCTTACAGCTGTTTAAAGGCAGAGCTATCTCAATGGGTAGGGAAGTGGGGAGAGCAGCAAGATTGGGGGGGAGGGGAGTGCCAAAGGTGGGGGAATAGATGGGAGGAGAGCAAGGGTGGGGATGAGTGAATGCCAAGGATGAGTGGGTAGTGGAGTGCCACGGGTGGGAGGTAGATAGGTAGAGCACCAAAGGTGGGGTTACTGGAGTGCCAAGGGCAGGGGGAGTAGGTGGGGAGAGCAGCAAGGCTGGTGAGGTGATTGGAATACCAAGGATGGGTGGGTAGTTGGGGGGAACATAAGAACATCAGAGACGCCAATGTTGGATCAGGCCAAAGGCTCATCCCGTCCAACACTCTGTGTCACACAGTGGCCAGAAATACCAGGTGCCATCAGGAGGTCCACCAGTGGGGCCAGGACATT